AAATTAATTAATATATTTTTCAGTTGAGTTTTACACCTGCTTTGATCCTCTACTAACAGTTTTGTAATAGAATAGTACATCAGCCTAACCTGTGTAACACAAAATTATTGTGTTTTTTAGGGATTTCAGTTTAGACACCGAGATTTGCTAAAATAACACTTTAACATTCTCTGTGGGCTCACTAATTTCCAGTTAAACAACGTTCTTGCAGGGAAAATAGCATGTGATGTCGAGAAATATTAAGTTATCTTTCCTGTCATAGAATCAGATAAAGGCCTTAGGCAGCTAAGCCCTTAAACTTAACACCCAGTAGACACTGATTTTGAATGTGAGGCGAATTTCGTGTGCAAACTTGGCTTTGTTGGGGTATTTATATATATATATATATTTATTTAAAGCTAGGTTTGCCCCTGCAAAATAAGATTTGAGATTTACAAAGAATTAAAAGGATTTTAAGAATTAGAGAGTTTTAAGGTTTACTGTAGTGGTTTCATCGTTGTAACATCTTAAGACCCAATGTTTACTTTTTTGTTATTTTGATTTATTAACTTTAGTGAATTGACTAGTGTTTTACATTTTGTATTTTACCTTTATCCTTCACTTAGAGAAGTGAATTGTTTGCTTAAACTTTAAAGATAGAGGTTTAAGCAGTTGGATTTTGGCAGTATTTTGTTTGGGCAACTTGTAATTTGGCCAACATTTGAATTGTAGTTTAAACTTAATCCCGGATTTAGTTTCAAGTTAAATTTTTGTTTATTCCAATCTTACTAAGAGTTAATTTAGAGTGAAGTTTAACTTACGAGGGGGGGGGGGCACATTGAGCTCATACAAGCTATTAAATATTGTTACGTCTCCGTTCGTTAGTTAATTGTCCGTAAATTCGTTCCGACGAAACTTTAGCGACACAAGTCCTTTGTTAAATAAAACTGGTTTGTTCTTTCCGAATACAACTTACGATACACTTAATTTCAACAGTCGCTCTATAACAAACGCTCACGTCTCACGTGGCCAACAATATTTTGTCAGCATACATTCAATTACTCATTACCTACACATTATCCTGTCACGTTGTGACCATCTTATATATACCAGACTACCCCCAATCTAGTAATGCTAGGGCATTCACGAAGGAACAGGATATTTCTAGAAAATAGGTGGCGTGATGCTAGTCACGTGACCTCGCTGACGCAACAATATATATTTCACATTGTTTTTATCAGTTCAAGATACATCACTACTTTCCCTTGTTTTGTTATTTTATTGTGTTCATTTTGTGAACTAACATTTGTGCACTTGTGAAACTATCGATCTGAACCTTTTTCTTAGACGATTGTTGATTGGAGAGATCATTACACTCTATAGTCTAGTATTCTGCAAACCTCCTGTTAGTAGGCCTAGCTGATTGCTTGGCGAAAAACCATATCTGTCATTCAATACAAAACACGTTTTGAAGTTAGATGCGCTTTTAGCTGTGCATTAAGAAAAACTATTATCAATTTATAAATGAATAAAAATTGTAGTAGTTATAAGAAATGACTATGTGAAGAAGCACTCTGTCAGCTAAGCAACATCAGATTCTCCCATAACATAAAAAATAACCTATTCGACAATTTGTAATAAAATCAAATGATTTAATTAATTTAAAACATATCAGAAAATTATATAAGCTAATATAAGTTTGTTTACACCAGCCACTTCTGTATTACTATATAATTCATATTTGTCTACACTTAATAGATGGAGAAAAAATTAAGAAAAAATACTTGGAAGTTCAGGTATCTCTCAATAGATGGAGAAAAAATACTTGGAAGTTCAGGTATCTCTCAATAGATGGAGAAAAAAATACTTGGAAGTTCAGTTATCTCTCAATAGATGGAGAAAAAATACTTGGAAGTTCAGTTATCTCTCAATACATGGAGAAAAAATTAAGAAAGAAATAGTTAGAAGTTCAGTTATCTCTCAATAGATGGAGAAAAAATACTTGGAAGTTCAGTTTTCTCTCAGTAGATGGAAAAAAAATTAAGAAAAACATACTTGGAAGTTCAGTTATCTCTCAGTAGATGGAGAAAAAAAATTAAGAAAAAAATACTTGAAAGTTCAGTTATCTCTCAATAGATGGAGAAACAAATACTTGGAAGTTCAGTTATCTCTCAATAGATGGAGAAACAAATACTTGGAAGTTCAGTTATCTCTCAATAGATGGAGAAA